ACAAGTGGAAAAGCTAGCTCGAGAACTTCACCCAATATGTAGCCATTCAGACTTTTCTTAAGTAATATTTGTAGGGATCACAGAACATGTTAGCATGCGAGCATATCTAGCCTTAGGTGGTTAGAATATGCATGTTTAGGACTCTAGAAGGGTAATTTGGATGAGAATGTTATTTCTGTTAAGAAAAATTACTAAAATGCCCTTAGGAGGAGGATTTATGTTGCATGTTGATTTAAATACTTTTTACTGTGCTAGAAAGAGAATGGGATACTGTTGTTTGTACTCTAAGCACTGATGGTTATCTCCTCGTTGAGCTTATATGAATGCATGATAGAGTATATTTAGCTTCAAGTGATTTATTGTATGTTCTCCTTGTAAAGTGTATTTATCTACATAGAGTTAAGACTAGGGCGCTAGAGTTAGGCTGGATAAATGATAACCTAGATCAGGACTTCTCCTGTAGACTGAACATCGTAGGATCGTGAGCAGTGATCAAGGGTCTAAGCCCTAGTGCTTCCAAACTAAGAAAGACTCGATGAGTCAGAATAGAGTATCCTTGAGCTGAAAGTTCGTGTTAAATCACCTTTTCGCCTTAGGAATCTAGTAGAACTCTTTGGAGCCTAAGGATGACCAAGGTGATGTTTAGTTTATGAATTATGTGCTTTACATGATTGATAAAATTATCTCCCACACAAAAATATGCATGAGAGGTGATTTTCACATTGACGTAGGTCAGCATGTTTTTTAGTAGAACGTACACAATAAGATCGTGAGTGGAAATCAAAGGTCTAAACCTAAGTACACTTAGAGATGAGATTAGCCTCAAGAAGCTAGTCCCGAGTGTCTTTAAAATGTGAGATGAGATTTAAACAACTTAAATGTCCCTAAGAACATAGTGTACCTCTCCGTCATCTTGGAATGAGTAAGTTAGCTCATTAGGCTGTTAGCAGTATGAACGATGTTACTAGAGTCTCCACCACCCTATCCTCTTTAGTACCCCGATAGTGTTATCACAACCCAAGTTGAACCCAATAGCATCTCGTCAAGCGGTAGCCCTCTAGGAGTTGTACCATAGAGCTACTACAACTAGATGGGATAAGGCGGTGGTTAGGTGCCCCAACCTTGTGGAAATGGCAAAAGGCCTCCTGAACAGAGCCACCGAGCCACTTTACTGTAAACTCATCCTAAGAGGGGTGTGGGACCACGTAGGTTGGCATAGTAGCTGGCCGGCACATTGGGTCACTCTAGTGGGAGAGTATGTCAACTAACCTTCCATGGATTTTGTTCATATTATAGACACCATACTTTACCACCAGATAATTATGAAGTAACGTCTCAACTTAAGATGTAAGTTATTTACCCCAACCGTCCATGTCAATCGTATGTGGCATTCACATATAACAAGTTTGTCAATCCGTACTCTTACTTCAAGATTTTTTCTCTAATAAAATGGTAGTGCACCTCCACATATTTTGTTCTAGCATGAAACATCATATTATCTACTAGACGAACCGCAGATTGGTTGACGTACTTTCTTGAGTTGCTTCAATCACTACTCTATACTCCACTTTTTGTAGTTGACAATGATACTATTGATTATCTTTTGTTACACCAAGAAATTATTTCTGGATCGAGCTTAAACACATACCCAATGGTTGATCTTCGAGTATCATGATCTCTTGCATTGTCAACATCATAGTGTCTAGCTAGCTTGCAGTCATCACTTCTTTTTTACAAAACATCATAATCAATTGTACCTATGACATATCTCAATATCCGTCGAGTTGCATCCAAATGACTCATGACTCCAACTTCATTCTCAAATTCCTTCAATTAGTTCATGTAGATCTCTCAATCTAACTCTCCGAGTAAGAAACTATTCTTCATATCCATCTACCATAATTTTAAATCTTTACTTACCGCAAGTACTAGCGGGACTTGTACGGTAGTGACCTTCGCCACTAGACTAAACGTTTCATCATACTCTAGTCTATATTGTTGATAGAGCCTTCGAGCTACAAGTTGAGCTTTGTATCTCTCGTTTAATTCATCGTGGGAGTTGAATTCATTATTTAACTAAAAACAAATTTAAAACGCAATTCTTATATTTTTAGTAAATATAATTACAAATTATATACTACAAAATAATTAATCAAAATTTAAGAGAATAATGTGAATTGACTTTTTCAAAATTATCCATTAAAAACTTTCCATAAAATATTACCTCTAATATAGCAATGACAATCATATTTGCTAGTTTCTCAAGTTCTAAACATTTGGATATAATTAAATAATGTGACATATTAATTATTTTCTTTCTATTCCCTATTTCAATCTCTACTGAATTTTAAGTAAAGTTTTGTTGGAACAAGACGGGAAAGAGAGTGGAGGAAATGGAGACGAAAAAGTCATTTTCGTCCCTCATCTCGAATACTCTTATTTTTTTAATCTACGTCAATAATTATTGAGAGAGACAACACATCAAATGTAATGGTAAGCTCATTGATAAATTATACACCCTAACTATCTTTGTCGATGTACACGTCATGTGTATTGCCATGTCATCTAGAATGTCTCTTACCTGCTTCCCTACACACTTACTATATAAGACACGACAGTCATGTGTACTGCCATGTCATCTAGTATGTCTCTTACCTGCTTCCCTACACACTTACTATATAAGACACGACAGTCATGTGTACTGCCATGTCATCTAGTATGTCTCTTACCTGCTTCCCTACACACTTACTATATAAGACACGACACCGTGGATTTGTTTCTACTTTTATTTTTTATAACATCACTTATAAATTTTAAACTTAACAAAAAAAAATTAATTTAAATATATTTTAGTAGAAGCTATGTTTGAATTGGTTAGATAAAAAGTTTATTTGGAGTATACTAAGGATGGGTTAGCACTTGAGAAACTTGAAACAGTTCACACCCAACCCTATATTTTAGATTAAAAATCATATGTATTCATAGTATATTATTTTTAAAAAATCATATGTATTCACAGTATAAATTACATTATTAACTAAAATCTCATACATTAATAACTAAAATAAATTTATATATTATAACGCATCACTACATATATTATAAATGTTAAATATTTTTAATCTTTTTAAAAGTAATGTAGAGTTATTTTGTAACTTTATTTTCAAACTCAACAAAAAAAATTCAGCTGGTAAACCGAACTAAATTTTCAATTTTTAAAACATTCAACCCAACCAAAACCGAAAAAAGATCTAACCCAACTCAACATTTATGATTTGAGTTAAGTAGTTCTGGTTATCGAGTCATATGGACTCCTTTTATGAGATCTCGATTGGAAAGGGGAACGAATGCTAGCGAGGACGCTTGGCCTCGAAGGTGGGTGGATTGTGAGATCTCACGTCGATTAGAGAGGGGAACGAGTGCATCGAGAACACTAGACCCTAAAAGGAGTGGATTGTGAGATCGCACATCAATTAGAGAGGGGAACGAGTGCCAACGAGGACGCTAGATTCCAAAGGGGGTGGATTGTGAGAGCCCACATCAATGGAAACCTCCCCTTAGCAGACATGATATAGAAACCTTAAGGAGAAATTCGGAAGGGAAAACCCAAAGAGGATAATATTTGCTAGCGGTCCGAAGTGCCAGCGAGGACACTACACCTCGAAGGGGGTAGATTGTGAGATCCCACATCGATTGGAGAAAAACGAGTGTCAGAGAGGATGCTGGACCCCTTGGGTGGATTATGAGATCTCACATCGATTCGAAATGAAAACTTAGAGAGAGAGATAAGATGTTCCCCTATTTCCTCCCCAAAATCAGCCGGGTTTAATGGTTTTTTAAAAAAGTTGCTAAAGAAAATGGGAGAAATCAGACCCTTCTGTAGAGGAAAACCATCACCTCAAAGTTGCAATAAAACCTAACATCGACCAAGTTCTTATTCTTCAAATTTACCGCTAGCAAATATGGTCTACTTTAGCTTCATGGTAAGGAATGTTGCATTCCCCCTTTAAAACAAATGTGATGTGAGATCTCATACTGTACCTTCAAGGCCTCACGATAAGGACTCACATTCTACCTCCAAAGCCTCGCGATAAGAAATGTTTCGTTCCCGTCCAACGTCTTCACTGGCACACAACCAATATGATGTGGGATCTCATAATCTATCCTTCTTGAAGATGAAGTTCTTGTTGGCACACCACCCACCACTCAATGCCCGACTCTAATATCACTTGTAACAACTCAAGTTCACCAATAACAGATGTTATGCATTTTGGTCCATCACATATTACCGTCAGCCTCAAGATTTTAAAATACGTCTACTAAGGAGAGATCTACATCTACACCGTTATAAGAAACGTTTTGTTCCTCTCTCCAACCGACGAGTGATCTCACATGTCTCCAAGTGTGAAGACAAATTGAAGAAAAGATCGTGATGAATAGATATGGAAGTTCACATGTTTATTAATAAATACAATTCTTCAGATTTTACAAATTCTAATTAAAAAATAAAGTAGCTAGAGATAAAGTATCTCTCTTTTCGATGATTTTTTAACCGTGAATAATACGAGGAAAAAAAAAACTCAATCTAGCAGCACCAACAAAAACGGTCTTGTTCACTCGTAAGATACCTGCATCTAACCATAAATCTCACAAACAACATTCATCCATCATTTACTCGACATTACCGTACCGTTCCGTTCGATCTAATAAAGTTACCTGACTATGGTTTAAGTGAAATTCATGAGTATAGATCGTTATTACTTATTGGGTTGAACCTATTCGAAATCGAAACCTAAAAAAGGGGTCAATAGAAAAAGCATTTTGTTGGATGATGAAAGTCCCACATCGGCTAATTTAGGGAATGATCATGGGTTTATAAGTGATGAATACTAACTCCATTGGGATGAGGCCTTTTGGGAAGCCCAAAGCAAAGCCATGAGAGCTTATGCTCAAAGTGGACAATATCATACCATTGTGGAGAGTCGTGTTCGTCTAACACATTTCAATCCCAACAAAATCATTAGATACAAATTTCCAAAGTTGTTTGAGATGAACTCACAAAGACTCAACTCGAGAACTTTCTCCCTAGAGTAGCGTCTTTTATAAGACTCGACTTCCTTTGAGAAGTGGAACTCATAAAAAGAGTTTTAGCTCTTTTGTATGGCAATAAACCTAACCAAGGATCGTCAACCTGAGCAAACCTCAACAAGGATTTGTACAACGAAAAAAAAAAAAAAAAATCAAGGATCAAACTTCATCCCAACAACAAAAACAATCAGCACTCCAGAAGAAAGTTGCCCCTATCCCTGAAAGAAGAATGAAACGGAACCTCCATTATAAGGAAACGATCCCTATTATGTAGTAAACAAAAGTCTGTTTCATCACTCAGTGTCACTTCAATCTACGTTTTCGACAACCAATGCAGGAAAAGGCTGGAATCTTTAAAGCAAGGAATCGAGAACAGGAGAGACGATAATAAGCCAGCAGCTGAGAAAACGTCGACTTCCATAAGATGGTTCTTTTAGTGTTAGTGCTTGCTTCAGATATCTACACCAGGCTTCCTATTTGGTTCTTAAAGGCTCAATGAACAATGATTCTTCTGAATTGAATACAACCAAGGGGTTGAGTTTTAGGCTCTATCTAGTCTGAAATGGCATGGTTCTACAATTTTCTTGGCATAAAAAGAAGCTATTAAATGGAATGCACTCATTAATCCATAATGATCTCAGTGAACAGGTGGTGACATATTGAAAAATGGCATTATCATTGCATCACAAAACTTGATCATAAAGGCAAGCAAGAGATTTCATTCCATCACATTAGAAGTGATTTTGGAGCCAATCAAAGGCATCATAACAACAAAATGAAAATTTTCTAACTAAGAAATATAGATTTCTACCAATCAAATCAAGAGAATCAGAATCAAACCAACTATACAGAACGACTCACCGTGGCATCTCCTCCTGTTGAACAAGTAGTAGCAGGTCCGGCTGCTCTTCTAACACTACCAAAATTCTTCTACTCACTTTATACATGGCCCCTTAAGATCTACACAACCTTTGTCTCAGAGAATTTGATCTCTTAGACACCAAAGAACGAGAAAAAACCTCGTTTCTTCGGCTCCTCCTCGACCATCACAGCCGTCATACTGTCCTGTTCAACAAGCCTCCAAGCTGCCTGCTCAAAGGCCAAACCCGCCAATGTGGGTGGCTTGTTCAACACCAGAGGGTACCCTCTGTTTGTGCTACGAATTACCTCTGAATCCTCAGGGATTGCACCCAATAAAGCCAACCCCAACATCTCTTGTACGTCTAGCACGGACATCATATCCTCCCCTTTGATCATATCTGTCCGAACCCGATTCACCATCATCTTAATGTCTCGAATTCCATCACATTCAAGCAATCCCGTCACCCTATCGGCGTCTCTCAAGCTCGTGATATCCGGCGTCGTTACAAGAATCGCCTCATTAGCAGGTGTAATGGCGGTAATGAATCCGGCGTCAATTCCAGCCGGACAGTCGATAATAATGAAATCAGGACAACCTTCTGGTCTTGCTTTTAACGCATCAACAAGCCAAACCAATGCTTTCCCACCAAAACCAATAGGTAATTTCGACCTAGGCTTCGAAATACAAAGCAATTCAAAGTTGGACCATCGTTTATCCCTCACCAAAGCCTGATCCAACCGGCAATCCCCATTGAGAACCTCAACAACAGTGTAATTGACACGATTCTCAAGCCCTAAGAGAAGGTCGAGATTCCGGAGGCCAACGTCCGCATCAATGGCCACAACAGAGAAGCCAAGACGGGCCAGGGAAATGCCGACATTGGCAGTGGTGGTGGTCTTGCCAACGCCGCCTTTACCAGAGGTGATGACGACGACGCGGGGAGTGTCACCGGCGAGCTCCGGCTTCCGGTTCCATTGAAGGACGGATTTAACGGGGGTGGAAGAGGGGGATTTGGGGAAGGATTTAGGGTTGGGGCTTGGGAAGGCTTTGGAATGGAAGGGATTGAAGATGAATGGTTTGGGAAGAAGGTGAAGGATTCGCATTGTCCTTAACGCAAGAATTAGGGCATACCAACCCCAACAATAAGGATTTAATCACTTTGAGACACTGGAAATGGAAGACTGAATGTTCCTCCGCGACAGAGACTGAGAAGATTGGATATTTTGAACAAGAAAAAAATATAAGATAAGAACAGAAAATTAAATTTTGGAAACAAGAAAACGCGCCAGGTAGGGGTCGAACCTACGACTTTCTGCTTAGGAAACAGACGCTCTATCCACTGAGCTACAGGCGCTTGTGTTTGAACACGTATTAACAATAACTTTATTTATTCTATAAAATAAATGTTCAATTTTATTTTTGTGGAGTACTTGTCTGTTAATCTTTAATAATAAATTATTAAGATAGGATGAGATTATAGGTAAGAGGGTCGTGCCCCTCGATTTTTATGAGATCTCTAACTATCCTTTAGTCCTGAATCTGTTCGATAAGGAAAATGGTCAATATGAATAGTTCTATGTGAGTATGAAGTAGTTGGCAGAAACGAGATCGCTCATGATGATCAAGATCAAGAGTAAAAAATAAAAAATAAAAAAACTTATTTATAAACTCGTAATTCAAATTACTTCACAAAATATTTGATCAACATCAGCGAAGCAACTCGATCAATAGGGAGAGGAACCGTCGACTTTCTAAACTATTAATAAAGTGCTAACACGTCCCTACCATCTTTCTAAATCAACAAGCATTCGAAACTTTAGTATGGGGAAAGAGCGAAGTAGCCTAAATTAAATATTTATAAATAATATATGTTTTAGCCACGGACCTTTAATGACCTAAAACCAATATGAATATACCTAACCCAATTAGATGAGTCAACAAAAAATGTTTCAACCTAATTCAACCCAATCCACGAACACCTCTAGACTTAAGGAAAAAAAGTACACGTTAGGACTAGAAGCAAACCAATAAAATCCATTCATGGTCGGCCATTATAACTCGGTGAAAAAAAAAATGGATGTTGAGACCAAGTTTGTCCCCTTATAGCTTGTCATGAACACGATCTTGCAACTTTAGCTTCGAAGAATGCTTCGTTTAGGGTAATGAAAGAGAGAATTTGAGCACAGAAATGATGGAAAATGAGAGTGTTCTTGGTCATAACAATACACCAAGTATTGTATTTTGATGGTTGCTGATGTAGTTCAAATTACAGTCCATGTTGCTGTAATTCATGGTCTTGGAAAGCTGTTCATCATTGATTTAAAGCTGTTGTGGCTTCAAATGCCAATATTGAGGCCCCAACAACACCATGTGGGATGCCAACTTTGGTGGATCCTGCTCTTCTTGCTGCTACTTTTCTGGGCATTGCCTTGACAATCCTTAGCTTAGACTGACCTACGTGCTCTCGAGTTCGGTTTTTTTTTTCACTTAAAAACGTCTTCGTTAAGTACCTTTTCATATATTTCATTTATATACTTCTATGATCCGAATATATCGCAAAACAAGGAGGGGACAAAGAAGTTTTCCTCATCTCTATCCCGTTCCTATCTCTTATTTCAACTCTCATTCTTATGAAATTCTCATTTATTTTTGCAAGAATTGGACGGGTATTCACACCCTAAAAAATTTTCTCCATTATTTAAAAAAGTATTTATTTTTAATGGATAATTTCCATTTTCTAATATAATTTCTATTAAAAAAATATAAAAACATTCTTACCCATCCAATAATATTTCTTAAGAAAAAATATAATATAATATTTAACATACCTTTTAAAAACTTAAATTTCAATATTACAACACTACATGCTTCCACCTTATGCGTTTTGGGCATGGTCGAGGGCAGGGATAGTGACGGGAATATAATCTCCGCCCCTAGTTTCGTTTAAGTAACAGGAACAAATCTTAGGTCGATTTTAGAGGGAAACGAAAATTTCTTATAATGGTGTAGAAATCTCTCCCTAACATATGCGTTTTAAAACCCGTTAAGCTTACAGTGATACATAACGGGTCAAAGCCGACAATATCTATAGCACACTTGGCTCACAGGGAGTGGATGGTGAGATCTCACATCAGTTGGAGAGGAAAATGAAACATTTCTTAGAGGATGTGGAAACTTCTCCCTACCAAAATCGTTTTAAAACCGTAAGAGTAAGCTCAAAAGGAAAAGAAAGCTAAATAGGATAATATTTACTAGCGGTGGACTTGGAATGTTAGACTTATTCTCCATTGGAGATCGGAGATTTCTCATCTCATTTGAGTAGATTAAATGAACATCTCTAGTCTGAATCTGTTTGTGTATTTCTTAAACTTAATACTAATGATAAATAATATTTTGTAACTTTCGAAAAAAAAAATTTAAGGGTATTTTTAAAGAAGTTTCTTCGAGGCTTGTAGGGGCGTTGAGAAGCTATGTTCTACCCGATCCCTACGTAATTTTCTTTTTATCGTCATTTAAAATTTCGAGTTTTTGAGATTTTATTGGGTGCCCTAAAGAAAAAATATTCGAGATGATTTGCCCCGACTTATCGGGTCTAGTCTTCCCCCTTGGACATACCAGTAAGTTCGTGAACATGATGTTCTAGGAGTAGGAATGGGTCAAGATTCACGATAGAAACAGGGTACCAGAGTTTTTAACTTTGGTAAGAATGCTTATTTTTCCGTAAGTTCAATGACGTTTATGTGTAGGACTAAAAATTATATTAAAAAATACCTCATCCATCTCGGATGTGCCACATGTTGTACCCACAAAATTCGGAGGAAAAATCGCGTCTACCAGAGATGGAAGTGAGACTCTGCTCACACACTAACGGCAGGTGAAGCTCTGCGTGTAGTTGCACGCGTGTCGGAGGCACATGGTCGTGCATGGACACTTATTTCTTGTATGTTCGATGCCCATTTATCAGTTTTTCGTCCCAATTTTGATACAAATCTTATTTTAATGTGAATTAGGTCCTTCGAAAGAAAATTTAGAATTTTTGGACACCTCCATGGCTAGATATCAAACTCGATGAGGGCCGAAGAGTATTGCTTATCTTAAGACTAATATGTTCGTTCTCAATGCCGCTATAATGTTTCCAAATGCATTACTTTAATCTCAACTCCACAAATTCTTGTTTCTTTCAAATGCATAATAAGTCATGTCACCTCAAATTTTCAAAAAATAATATATCATATAATAAACGTATCAACTGTTAAATGATAGTTCAACATGTACCTCTCGTTCATATTTTGAATAGAAGTGTTTATCTGATGACCAATTCTACCAATACAGACTATCCAACTCAAGCTATAAAAGTTGGTGTGAATAGTAAGTGTTTTATATTAACATTGTAGGGTGGATAAGTAGGACTTTTTAAAACAATTAAAAAGAACAACTTGACAACTCAACCTAACTTGTGTAATCTATTCGGGTAACTCGAGTCACTCGAGTCACCTACCTGTGTACTCTATTTGATTTGGTTTGGGTTATGAGCTATATTCGGATTACTCAGTCACCAATTCAACGAACTCCAAATTTCGATTTGATCCAAAAGATTTTTACAACCCAAATCAATCTGTCTAGACCACTAATTTGATTTGTAACTAATAGCATATTGATTTATCCCGCTCTTTTTTTGTTTCTAAGTCAAAATTTTATGTAAATTTAAAGTGTTAGAAGGTGATTGATGGATACTAGAGCCATGTCCAATTAATACCTTTCACCCTTGTCCCAAAAGAAAAATACATAATCAACATACTTTGACTATCGCATTATTGTTTCATTTATCAACAAGATACTTGTAATAATCCAAGTCCACCACTAACAGATATTATCTGTTTGGACTCGTTATATATCGTTGTCAGCTTCACAATTTTAAAACGCTTCTATTAGGGAGAGGTTTCTACACCCTTATAAGAAATATTTCGTTTCCCTCTCAACTAATGTGGGAACTCACAATCCACCCCCTTGGGGGCCATACTGCCCGAATCCGGCTCTAATACCATTTATAACAGTCCTAACTCACCGCTAGCAGATATTGTCTGTTTTAGCACGTTACGTATCGTCGTTAGCCTCCCAATTCTAAAATGCGTCTATTAGGGAGAGGTTTTCACATTCTTATAAGGAATGCTCTGTTACCCTCACAACTGATGTGGGATCCACAATCTATCTTCTTGGGGGCCCACCGCCCGATGTCCGACTCTAATACTATTAGTAACAGTCTAAGCTCACCGCTAGTATATATTATCAGTATGAGATCCTACATTAATTAGAAATGTTCAAAATGATTGTCGATGTGTGATTTCATAGGATTATTACATGACAGCAGACAACATTAATAAACAAAGCATTGACTTCTCAACAACATATTACACTTTGCAGATTTGCGAATCCTTTTCAAAGTCAACTCTACAGCAGACAAGATTGGAATCTATTATCAACATTGCTAGTTTAGGACCCCCTAAAATACCTTTTAATTATGTATCCAAAATAAAGGTTAAATGATGTAATTATGCAACTTTCTACCCTCCGACCCAATCGTACGCATCAAAATCATAAATAATTAGAGAACAATCCTTTCTGTCACCTTCCTAGATTAGGCTCGTCTAACTTAACCTTACTTGGCACATAGAGTTCGAACATCTGTAATCAACTCTAAAAACCACGGACCATCGTCATGTAGTAAAAATTAAAATTTTGATCCTATTCAAGAACTCGAAAATAAGATATATTATCCATCATTTTGGTGATCTAAGGTATTTTTTATGATCGGAGGTTTGGCGTTCTTGACTAGGTACCTTGTGACAAAAGTTAATTTTGATTTAATCGAGTAGGTCAAAAGATAGGGTTTTCTTTTTCATTTTACTTTTTAATTTCGAGATGTTACACATTATCATTTTCTTTTTATGTTGTGATTTTAAATTGATTTCTATTTGGTTTTATGGTTTAGTCAAACTAGACTATAGTCGAGGTTGTGATTTTGTATTGAATAGGTCCACAAAGTGGGGTGGAGACGAAAAGCTTTCTTCGGTCCCGTGCCATTATAATAGGTCCTTATAATGATTATTGACATGTCAAATAAGTACTATTGAGGCTCATTTATATTCTAAAATGTGAACCAAAACACAAAGGTTTTATTGAACTTCGCTACTTTTTGCTTGAGTATGTAGTACTTCTCTACACACGACCCATGCACGCATACATGGACTCACAAGATGGACTCATATACATACCTCTGATTACAAGCTAGCACACGCTCAGACTGTCTAAAACCACAAACGGAAAGGAGTGCATATAGTATTATCATGTACACGATCGTACTAATCATATCGTGAAAGTATTTTGATGCTCGTGACATACAAAATACATGAGGTCCCATAATTTCAAATCATGATACATACTTATGATGCAAATCATACCTCCATTTTTTTCGACTACCTGGAGCTCTCGATTCTGGTCAAATCTTCTTCATGAACCTTGCTCAAAGCCTTTGTGGAGATCAAGTTTGGTTACTTGAATCATCCAAAAGCATCAAAGAACGAGGAATATCGAGAGGTAAGTTCTTGAGTTTTACGTTTCCATATTTTTCTTAGATCTTCAAGATTTAAGAGGAATTAGGTTCTTAAATTTTAATATCATGTTCTTGAAACGATTTTGAACATATTTTATGAAGAAAGCTAGAATTGTTCGTACATTATATACTCTTAATCTATGTTGGACTTCATTATATCTTCCAATATTTAATCATCTTTGTGGAGGCGGATTAAAACTCTACAGATTTGGGGAACAAACCCATCTGATTTGAGTTATATAGGAAATGTTATAAAAATCTAAATAAATTAGAAAATATTATGTCTTAATATAATTCTGCTCGGACCCCATTTATCGAGCGAAGAAAAAACGCCTCCTACTCTCTCAAGTTTATACCTTAAATTAATGATGCGTCAAACAACTTAAAAATTAAAAATAAACTTATGATTCTTTTATTCATATTAATATTAATATGGGTATTGTAACACTTGACGATAATATAAAATGCAATAGATACGTATGAGCCAACATGAGCATAACTCAATTGTCTGAATTACTTATTTTTTTATCTAAATTTATTGTCAAATATATATCTGTAGTTTGATGATCAATTAACTCATTGATTGAACGTATCAATTCTATGAGATACTTAAGTGGGAGTTTAGTAGCCTTTAACGAGCTTATGTAAATTGGTAGCTAATCAGTGAAGTCACTCTTAGCATATTTGTCATAAAGTAATACTAAAATTGTCATTCTTTGAGGTAAATGTGTTGGAGTCGTGGTGAACTTTACTCCAACTTATAGAAATTTACACTCAGTCAACAAAGTCGAGCTACTTCAACTGAAGACATTCATGATAAAATATGGGTATTTGTCACAAAAATTTTATACAATTTCATATGTCATGCACGGCGTGCGTGCATGCATGAAGTCTGCCAATTATGTGCTTCCATTCAATGGTCAAGTCATTTCAAATGCCTAAAGCTGTAATTTCTTTCGGTTCCACAAAAATAAAATTAAAATTTAAAAATTATTTTTAAACTAAATAAACCCTTTGACTCGTGACCCTTCCTTCTTATTTTTTTTAATATTCAATTTTTAAAAAATTATAAATTTAATCCCAGTTTTAATACCCCTTCAAATACTAGCTCGATAGAGATTGATATCAGCTCCACTAAAGACAAAGAGTTCAAACTGATCAATTAGACCCATATTAATCAAACTGAATCAAGTTCGAGTTACTCAATCAGTATTTTAAAAAAATTAGATAAATAATTTAGAGATTAGTTTGGTAATGAATAAATATAGAAAGGAAAAATGGAATATTAAAGCAAAAGAAAAGAAGATTGGAGCTCACCAATCCCTACATTATTATTATTATTATTATTATTATTATTATTATTATTATTATCATCATCAATAAATGAGAATTTAATTAAATCAATTTTGTCAAACTTCATATCAAATAATAAAAATTAATTACAATTACTTTAAAAATAAAAACCTTTTACATATGGTAACAAATCCACTATGGTCAAATATTATCAAAATATTAAATTTTCATCTCATTTATTATATTTAAAATTAATAAAAATCGAGCTGTACTCCATAAAAATAATCTTATTTTAGGTAATAAAATCATATTAAAATATAATATCAGTAACATGCCAAATAATTAATGCCTCAGTAACTTTCCAAAGTTACCATCCCACCATTTAATGTTCTTTTTCCCGATATTAATTTTGTAAATTAACGCCATAAATTGCATTAATATCAAAATTTAAAAGATAAAATCTAATTATATTTAAAACAAAATTGGACTTTTTAATTTGGTAACTCTTATTAATGATTAGAAAGAAAAAAGTGAAAATAGAATTAAAAATATATTCCAACTGCCAATCAGAAGCCGACACATGTTCACAATAATTTTATTATAAGAAATAAAATTAGGAAAATATTAAAAGTGGGGCCACCGGTTTCAACAAGATGGCACTCACCAAACTTCCGCTTTCACACACCCCCAAAATTAGGAAAATATTTATCTTTTTTTTCCCCTTTTTTTTAATTTAAATTACAAGAATTTTCTCGGAATCCAAACACCCCACCATTTTCCTTTCCATTTTCTCGGGAAAATGTTAATATTAATATTAATATTAATACTTTAGAAAATTAGGTAATATTAAAAATTAAAAAGAAAAGGGAAAAGAAAAAAAAAAACAAACTAACGCCACGCCGTGGTGACGGTGAGAGTCCGGCCCATCCAGCCAAAGCAAATTCCTCCGTTTTCTTCCTTCACGGTGAACCCCGGGTTGACTCGGTAGCCTGAACTCAGCCGAGTTTTCATCGACTCAGCTACGGTTTGACTGATCGGCCTTGCCTCGAACCCAGCCATCCCCATCCTGGCTCGCCACTTCCCAGCCACCTCGCATCTTTCCACTCGGTCTCTCCCCTCGCAAGCTAGGGAATTGGCTAACTTTCGTCCCAGCCCTTCCTCAACCTTCACCCGGTCCGGATGGTCTCTCTGCATGGTCGAATCAATAGACTCGAACAACGAACTGTAGTAGATACACGACTCGGCTACCCGAGCTGAAAATGGAGCCGTATTCATGTTCAATTCTTGCTCCATTACCGTCACGATGGTGGGTGCCAACGCCTTGACGCTACGGAGAAGCTCGTCACGGGGATTCTCCGTCGACACGCTCTCGTCCGGCATTCGGTATAACTTGAATGCGAAATTCACCGCCAGTAATTCGTCCGGCTCGCAGCTGAGTAACTCCCGTGTTAACTCGGCGAGTTTATGTCTTACGAGGTTGAATTCGAACCCAACGCCGAGTTCATCCGCGAGTTGACTCAGCGACTCGCCGATCTGTTTTAACCTCTCCTCGCCGTCGCTCTCCGCCGCTACAACCGCCGTTAGCTTCACAGAAACCTTCCCTTTCTGGCGGTTGGAGAGGAGGTGAATTAGGTTCATATACTGACCGCCTTTCCCGAGGTCGAAATCCACAACGTGCATTTTCCGATCGTCTTCTCCGATCGCTTCAAGAATCGCGAGATTCGCCGCCATGAAAGCGAGTTTAAAGCAGGGAGAAACATCATACAGCAACTGGGTCGCCGCCGTGTGTTCCTCACCGTAAATCTCCACCACCGGCGGCGGGAATTCCACTGGATTCACACGCGATTTCAGAGCAAACACCATAAATTCCGCCAATTTCACATTGGAAACAACCACCGGAGCAAGAATCTCATCAATACCCTCTAATTTCCCATCGGAAATCGCGGCGGCTGCCTCGATTACAGATTGTTTCCAAGAATCAGAGGCTTTGGAAGCGACAGAGGACGACGTAGACGAAGAACAGGAAGAAGAAGCAGAGGAAGTCGGACTTCGATTCTGCGCCACCGTGGGACTAATCAGATTATAAATCGTTTCACACCATGGACTATTCGAGTTCGTAATCACCGAAACGGCGTCGCTTCCATCATCATCATCAATATCTTCAAGAAGCTCTTTCTCCAATTCCTGAAGGCGATGATTCATAATCATCTTCTTCTCGGAGTCCAAACTCTGCAAATCCCTCGCCGGAACCACCCCATTCGGCTGTTGACGAAACTGCTGAAGAAGCGCGGTGGAGCTCGTGCCATAAAGACGGTGGGATTGAACATCCGTCGACGGCAGAGACATAGTAGAGTAGAAATCCAAATTGGAAAGTGGGGAAATCGGATGAGCAAAAGCTCTGGGCTTAACAGAGCGGAGGAAGAGGTTGTTGAGAGGAAGATTATGGTGGTGGGTATGTTGAAGATCGGCGAGATTCCGTTTTCCGAGGAGGGAAGAGGGGATTTGGCGACCGATCTGAGTGGCGGTCGGATCTAAGAAAGCACCACCGGAGAGCTGCGATCTGTATGGATTCGGCTGAGATGGGTTGGGGATGGATCTGCCGGCGGTGTAGAAATCCGGCGCTCCACCACCGGTGAAACCAGATTGCATTTTTACAGAACAGATTCCTTCCCTCTCTGTATTTTCTCTCTCAAAATCACAAAATTAAAAAATAAAAAACTGTGAAATCCCAAACCTAAAAGAGAGAATTTATAATATATATATATATATATATATAAAAATAAATAAATAAAGGAGAAGAAGAAGAAGAGACAGTTAAATAATCCTTGAGAATATAACGGAAGAAGATTTTAGAGAGAGAAAGAGGAGAGAGAGAGGGTTTGATTTCAACTTTTTCAAAATTTTCAAGCTTTTCAAGCGGATATCTATCAATCTATGATATGAATCGAATAGCTCTCTGTTTTTTTTTTTTTTTTTTTTTTTTTTTTT